TGTCTCTCCTCTGATCCATCCCTGTCGTGTGCACTGTCTTTAATCACTGCCTTTGCCTCACTGAGCCTCTGCCCTTGTTCCTCTCACAGGTGGCAGTTTTCTTATCCTGCTCTGGCAGGGGGGTTGGACTAGATGATCTTTCGAGGTCCCTTCCAACCCTTATGATTCTATGATTCTTGTGTTTTCCATATCAAAGCTATCTGTTATTAAAATTTCATTCTTCCTCTGCTGTGAGATGATAAAGACAGACAAAAGTATTAGCTGGGTAACTTTACAGTGTGATGGCAGCGAAAGGCTGTGCAAAAATGGGGGTCTTGACAGAGGGCAGGAGGCAGAAGAAAGGATTGGATCTTCAGAGACCTGACCCTGGAACAGCTGAGCCATTGCCTCGAGGAGGAAGGTTTGCCTCCTGCAGCAGCGTGCGAGGGGGGAGCACTGGGCAAAGCCCCACAGGTGGCACTGGAGGCAGCAGGTGTGCAGGAGCAATTTCTGATGCCAGCCAGGGATGGCAGGGCTCACGCTGCCTTGTGCAGAGCAGCCTAGCATCAGTAGTGCTCTCTTCCAGGAGCCAGTTTAATTCTGCAGAGATTGGTGTGCTTCTCGTTTCAGTGAGGAGAGCTAACTTCATTCCTAGTGGGCAGAATCTCTCACCTTGCAGCTCTTCTGAGTCTTGGTAGGAGCAGAAGCAATAAAGCCTGTCTTTTGCCACCCAGATGCCACGTAGGGTAGTGATCTGATCTGAAAAATAACCCAACACAACAACCACCACAACCCATGGGAGTGGGGAACCAAGTAGGATTTGCCTAACATCATGGACCTGCTTTGTGGCTGAGCTAGGAACAAAGGTCTTGGTTTCAGACCAGTAGTTCATGCTGTTCCTTTCATGGTTTATCATTGCTTCTTTCCTTGAGTCTGTGAAGGTACAGCAGTGGAGAGGGATAGAAACTAACTGTTGGTTTGATTTGTGTGTTTGTTCTTTCCCCAGGTTAAGTTGCATTTGTGGATGTTTGAAGAGCAGAAGGCACCATGGCTCCATGAGCTGTGAGGCTGCAGGAAGCGTGGCAGCCCTCCCTACCTCTGGGTTGTGTTCCTTACTGTGGCAGTCTCCTCAGGACCCTTGGTCCCAGCCACGCTTGGTGTGCAGTGGGTGGCCTTGGCATCAGAGCAGGAGCAGCAGGGTGTGGGTCAGGGGAGCCATGGCCCTGAGGATATATGTCCTTCAACTCTTCTACAAATTCAAGGTGTTGGTGCTTGTCACTTTGTGTCTGATGGTGCTGTGGGCGACATTCAGTTACGTTGTGGACTCCAGACAGGAAGTTTCTAAAGCCAGGAGCATGATGGAGTACTTCAGAAAGGTGCCTAGCCTGGAGGACAGCCAAAAGGAAGAGCAGATGAGATCAGCTGCAGCAGTTCCCACAGTGAAGGCTTTGCAGGGTGACTGCCCAGCTCGGTCCCCGTACCTGCGTGAGTGCTGGTGCTTTCCTCTGCTGTCCAACAAGCTACATCTGCTTTGCTGCTGACGTGGGTTTCCTCCTAGCTGTTAGACCCTTTTCCTAGGAAAAAGGGAAAGTAATGTGTTCATTTCTCTTCTTGACTTGCTCACATGCTTAATCATTTCTGGCCAATCCTCTGCAATAAGGTGGAACTTCTCTTGATTTTTTTTTTTTTCTTTAATTGTCATTACTGTGTAATCAGTTTAAGCAACTCAACACTCAGTACCTTGCCTTCCACTGCCCAGGTAATAGCCTTGTGGCACTACTTTTCTCTTGGAGAGTCAGGGAAGCCCCCTGGGGCTTGAACCTTGGTTTCTTATGCTGGTTACAGAGTGTCTCATGAGGTGACTGGACTACCCACAACCAGAAATGACTCAAGAAAGTGTCTTGTGCTTCTCCTACAGGAGGTACCAGCAAACTCATCTTCAGAGCCTCTCTCACACTAGAGGAAGTAGAAAAGGAGAACCCTCAGGTGGCGGGGGGTCGGTATCACCCTGGGGAGTGCTCAGCCCTGCAGCACGTGGCCATCCTCATCCCTCACCGCCACCGAGAGAAGCACCTGCTGTACCTCCTGCAGCACCTCCACCCCTTCCTGCAGAGGCAGCAGCTGGACTATGGCATCTACGTCATCCACCAGGTGAGCAGCTGAGTGGAGGGTGTTTGGGGGGGACAGTCAGTGCCCTGCAGTCTGGGGACAGCCGTGCTGCTGCCAGCCTCAGGCCCCGGGCCTGCCTTGGGCACTTCTGCTCATTGAGGGGTGCCACAGCCCCTACAACCATTGCTGGGAGCAACACCAGCTCTCAGCTGCTGGTGGCAAAGCTGGGAAGTGTTAACAGCCTGGGGCTTTGACTGGTGTCCCTCTCCCAGGCTAGGTAAGCTGCTGTGTGTGAGGGACTGCTGCAGGTCAGCCCCGTTTGCACTGCTGACACACCTCACTTCTCTCACAGCACACACAGGTCACTGGGCTGCTGTGTCCCATCTGTAACCCTGGAGCTGTGTGGCTGGAAGGCCTCTGTGCAGCCCCTCTGTGCAGCTGCATGCTGGCTGCCCTGCCTGGCCAGCTGTGTGACTAAACACGACAGCTACTGCCTGTAGGTGCTTCCCTCACCTGGCAAGGGCCATGGGAGGAGTAGCCATGGCAGAGTGCTTGGTTCCTGAGTGCTTTTTAATCTTTTAGAGCCATGTGCCACATTTTCACCTGAGGTGCTTGTGTCCTAGTTGCATGAGCTAAAAGCAGATCTCTCTTTTGTAACGTTGTCTTGCTTTTGATTTTCATTACATTTGCTTTCTTTTACTGTCCTGTACTTACATGTTCTGCTTTGCCTCTAAACAGATTTTTCTGTCAGCAGGAGAAAAAGGTGATAATAACAGTTTTTCTCCCCTTCTATTTAGAGAAACTGGAGTAAATTGAGCAGTGTGAGGCAGTGCAGTCTAGGTGAAGGCTTACTGCTCAGTGGCAGAGCAGCACAACAGAAGTCATGGCAGAATGTATCTTTTCAGTGGACCAGGCTGTTCTTTCCTTATTTAGAGGCAGCATGTGACCCATAGAGTGGAAAACCTGAGGCTTGTTTCTGCATTAGTATGTGCTGTAAGTGTACAGGTACTGGCTCAGTGCAGCTGGTGAGCAGGAAATCCCTGGGAGAACAGACCTGCAGTCTCATTTGTTGAAATGTCTGAGGTGGAGAATGGCTGTTGTCCTCTTTGTAGTGCACAGGGATGAAAGTTGTGTCTGATGTGAACAGCAGTGTCAAGTATGGGCTTGTTCTGTCAGAAGCTTCTCCCCAGCCTCTTCCTGTGGATAAACATACCCAGAGACTGGAAAGTCACCCTAAGAATGCTCTTCTGTGACAAATCCATTTTCACTCTCCATTTGTGATGTCATTAGTTGTTCTAACTGTCTTGAGGAAAGAAATAGTTAAGAACAGGATTTAACTATTAATCTCCCTCTGAAGTAAACTGTGTATTTTAAGAAGTGGGCCTTTCATATTTTTTCTCTGTGAGCCACTGAAGGGCACACTCCAGATCTTTTCTTTATGAGCTGCTTGTAACACCTTGAGAGTGACATTTCTGTGCACAAATGTTGTGCATACAGGAGTGCAGTGCTGAAAAAAAAGTGAGTTCATAATCTCTCTATAAAAATATAGATAATCTCTCTCTATATGTTATATAAACATAACTTTTATAATCTCTAAAGGGTGAGTCATTTACTTCCCAACAGAAGTTTGTCTTGGGTTCAGTGCTCTTCCACAGAAGCCAAGGAGGACAAACCTCTCCTCAGGAAAAGACCAGAGTAAACTTTGCTGTTGGTTCAGCGTGTGCTCTAACCCTGCAAACTGTGCTTCCTGGGGAGTGATTTTGGCTGTGGTTTGGTCCCCTTGTGCAGGAAGTGGGCTGTGGGGGCTCTGTGCTCATGGGGGAGACAGATCTGCAGCAATGGTAGGTGCTGCTGCTGAACTGGGCTGGGTCTGATACCAAATACAAGTGAAGTTCTCCACGTGTTCTTTGCCAGCCACCTGGATCGTTCTGTGACCAGTGTTACCACATCATAAGGTTGTCTGCTGGATTTAGCCTTGTACAGGACACTTAAACCCCAAACAAATAAAACTGACAAAACCAAACAACTACAAATCACAAAAAGAAAATCACTCAGAAATTTGATATATTAGATTGTGGATTAATTATATCTAAGGTTTTTTTTTTATGTTCCTTTTCTGACTGAGAACAGAAGCAACTGGTTATCCCTCTCAATTTGTATGAGTGCACACTGGGCTGCATTTCCTTAACTGCAGTTATGGAGCCCTAAATCTTCTCTGTGTAGCAGCAGACAGCTCTTAGTTAAGGTGAACAAACTGCTGCTTCAGGGGAAAGCATCACTTTTTAGAACAATGAAAGATGCTTTGTGTACAGCTGCTTTTCCCTGCTGTTAACCTCTGGGTCTGAGGAGGCCAGTGTCTGCTGTGGACCCTCTGTCAGCCCAGGTGCCTTCTAGCAAATCCTTCAAAATTCCCTTTTTTGAATTCTTTGAAGTGCCTTAGGTTCCTAGCTCTGGAAATGACTGTCCTGGCAGTGTCTGGGAGAACAGGGCTTGGACCCTGACTCCCAGGTGGGGACTTGGGGCAACTCACCCCCTTGTCCTCAAGGAGAAGCAGCCCCTCTGCAGGCTGGCACGTGTCTGCTCCAGTGGAGTCTGACCAGCAGGACAGGGGCTGGGGGTGCAGAGCTGAG